TACCTTCAATTAGAGAGCCAATTTGGTGTCATGGTTAAATTCCAGACTAGAAACTGGGAGACCATAAGTTCTAGTCCTGCCTTAGGCACAAAGTCAGCTGGGTGATCTTGGGCCAGTCCCTCTCTCTCAGCCCTAGGAAGAAGGTAATGGCAAACCACTTCTGAAATCTTGCCAAGAAAACTGGAGGGACTTGTCCAGGCAGTCACCAGGAGTCAACACTGATTCAAAGGCACACACACGCACACACCTCTTCAGTTACTCCCAAGGAGTGTGCACTGGCTCAATTGGAAAATAATTCGAACAATCCTAGTCCAATCTCATTTCTTTTCCTTTTTTTCTCTGGAATTACACAGGCTTTTTGAACGATTTATGCAATTTTAAAAAAGGATAGAGATAAGTCCATTTCCATTTATTGTCTAATTGGGAAGGCACTGTCATAGCCCAGGACTCAAACTCTGACTCTGAAGAAGCTGCTCCAGCTGAACCAGTGGAATGTCAGCCTCAGGAGACACTAAGCCAGGAATCACCTGAGGCTGATCAAACACAGGCACCATCTGAACAGCTGGAGCAGTCAGATGATGATGTATGGCCTCCAAGCCCTTGAACTTGGCAACCAGAGCAGAGAGCAGAACAAAGACGCTCAATGAGGCTCCTTGCCAAGCAAGGGAATAACTCAATTAATGTCACCTGACTGCAGCCTGATTTAAGAGGCAGCCCTGACTGGTGTTTTTCTGTTGGAAACAACCGTCTGATCTCCTGCACTGGCATGTGGTTCCTGTGATACTGCTTGTGATTCCTGAAACCCCAACCTTTGGACTGGTTGATAAACCTGACTTGGCTCTCTGAACTTTAGACTGGATTTGATTTCTGCTTTGCCTGTCCCTACTGAAACTGAAACTACCCAGGCAAACTTTCTTTCCCAGAGACTCCCTTTTGATTTACATTCCTTTTTTTGTCAGCCTTGAGAAAATTGCTATTTTTACCTAGCAACTGAGTGTGTGTGAGTTTGAAACCTCATACAGGACAGGCATATTTTAAGGATTTCTAAAAAAACTTGTAGGAATATTTGTCCTGTTCAGATAGGTATTGTGTTACACTTCATTTAATCTTTTAAAAGCGCTGTATGTAGTCTCTTTGTAGAGAAGCTTCTTCCCTATGGCCATACTTTCTAACCAGTTGTCATGGTCCACTCTGAATCCGATTCAGAATTGGAGGCCGAAGAGCCAGTACTTTCTGAAGCCCAAGTGACTTTGGAACAGGCAGAGGTATTGGATGAACAGCAGGCTGCGCAGTTGAAAGAGGTGGGGTTGGAGAGCGAGCAGCAGCCGGATTCAGTCTCCAATAACAGGGCAGAGAGTGTGAGACCACCTGATGCTCAAGCTAGGCGTGCCAAAAAAAGAGCTCTGCAATGGCATTCAGCGAGGTTGCTCGCGAGGAGGGAATCTCACCCTCAGAAATGAGGAACACCGGCAGTTATTATAAAACAAGACTCAGTAGAGGGGGAGTCTTTGGTAATGACAACCATCTAGTTACCTGCTTGTGTCTCGCTCACATCTTCCTCGTGTCTCGCTCATGTTCCTCTGGGGATTGCTACCCTGTGAACCTTGACTCGCACTACCTACGATCCTGCATCCTGCATTACCTCGGACTGGACTCGACTACTTCTCCTGCCAGGCAAGCTTGTAGCCTCTCGCCTTGTGAAAACCTTGTCCCTGTACTGTATCGGAACACAGACTCCTCTGTGTGTGTGTGCAGGTTCATGACACCAGGTGGCATATCACTTAGGTCTTCCAGGATGTGCCAGAAAAGATGCTTCTGATCTGCAAAGAGCCTGGTGCTGTTGTCAATGCAGCAGGCTTTTTACAGAAAGAGGAAGAGATCCTTCAACCATCTTTTATATCTTAGAAAGTAAGAGCTGCCTTTGCTTTGCACCATAATGTAGTTGGTTGTTACATGGAATTTCTCTCCTGCTGCTGTTCATCTTACCATAGATCCACAAGGAGTCAGTTGCCCAACTTTGTTTCTTGCTAAATCTGTGATGCCATTTTTAAAACTCCCTACCAAGTGCTACTAGAAATGCAGTTGTTTATCTCCCATGTCATCTCAATCCAAAGCAAATAGCATATAGGACTGATTGCTAAAGTTCTTTGTGCCAACTATGTACTATCACTGCAAAACATGAGTGCTAATCTAAAAACATGAGTAGGTTTCAGAATTCATTCTCACAAGGTATTGTTGGCTGTCATTCCATTGGCAATGCTACAGTCAGTTTTACTGTTTCAGTACATGGACTAAATCTGACATTCTCCAGATTCATCCTTCTAACACATGTCTATGAACCATATAAGAAGGTGCAATCTTTCTTTAGTTAAGACTGGTAGGATTATATGCTCAACATTCTTGGCTTGTAGGCTTTACAATTAGTTTTCTTGTTATTCTTACACCAAGATTCCTTGGAAGAAAGAATCACCAATTTTAGCCATAATAAGAGATACCTAAGAGGAATTCTCCAGATTCTACCCGTATAAGATTTCTAGTCTACTAATTTAGCTCAACTTTCTCAGTATGATGGTGCATTTTCTCTCTGCTGAACTGGAATTTTTAGGTTCTTTTCTGAAGGGAATATATACTAGATGAGAAAATATACTGGATGGGAAAGAAAACCTATTTTCCATGGCATGAAAATGGCACATGAGTAATTGATATTTGCATGTATTTTTTCATCCCCACCAATTTGCTTCTTGTTCTTCAGCTGAATTGCTTTTTACAGAATAGATCAATCTAGTTGACGTTCAAAGCAGACACAGCAATGACAAAGGGAGGGGAGGAGAGGACAGGCTGTATGAAACCTCAAGAGAATGAAAAAACAAACAGACATGGATAATCAATACCAAGCAGATGTGTGAATAAGATCAACTCTTGTTGACATCACTGGCCAACAAAGAGAAAAAGGTAACAGTGATAAAAATGATGACTTGGATAACCCAGAGATTCTCACTGAAGGAGCATTCTGATTCAGAAAAAGGAACTGTGAATTTTGTTAAATTTAATTCATTAATTATTTTAATAAACTCTTTGAATTAGTTAAAAGTCTGCTGATTCCTATATTTTGGGAAATCGCTCCCAACTGTGGTCCCAAAGTCTACATTTTGCTGCCCAGGTGGCCAAGCTCTAAAATAATGCTTTTAGAGGACGTTGTGATGATAGAGCAGAAGAAACTATGCAGATTTTAACTAAAACAAATGGTATCCCCAAACTGACATTTAATATGGGACATTGGAAATTGTCTTCTACTAGGTCAAATCACAGTCCATCTAAACAAATATTGTTAACTCTATACCATAATATAGCAGCAAACTTGAGTTTCAGTCAGGAATTTCTCCAACCTTACCTGGAAATTCCAAGGGTTGAACCTAGGACTGGTAGCCAAATGTACTGAAACCTGGGAAGTTTCCCATCACGGTGGTAACATGAGACACAGCCTCCTTGATACTCTGGCTTGAAATTCTCTCCCTCAAAAGGCTGGCCAGGCCCCTTGTTTGATGGCTTAAGGTGGGCAACCAAGGCCATTTTATTAGCCAGGTATTTAACTGGGTTTTAACTGTGTATAGAATGAGCTATTGTTTAAATTTCTGTAACTTTATTATCCCCATTTTTGTGTACTAGAATAGAGTTTTTCTTGTTGCAGACACCTATGTGGGGAGGGGGAGGGGAGGTTTGTGGAGTCCTGAAGGTGGGGAATATAAAAGAAGGTATTTTGTCAAAGTCTTTCTGGCTATTCTCAGTGAGGAGGAAGAGATCAATATTTTCTGTCTGTCTTTGCAATCTGTGATTGTCCTTATGTTTGATACAACCCACATAACTATTTTACCTCTGATTGCTAGCATTATCTGTGGGAGAATTTCAGTGATGATTTGTGGGTTATCCAGGCACCTTTGGAAATTCTCAAGTATGATTTCTTTTTTTGTTGTTGCTGTCATTGTAGACTATATGTCTAAGCATTTTTCAGTAATGCTAAGTATCTTGAGAACCTCTCTTCCAATCACTACAGGGCATTTTTGCTGTTAAAGAAAAGAGGGAAGAGAAAGAGAAGGAGGAGCAGGGGACGAAGAAGAAAATTCAGCAGCCCATGTGTAACAAATTCACATTTTAGGAATGCTGGAGGTCATTCTGTGCCATTGCTGCTAGGCCAAATAGATTCCAGGAGAGTTCCCAGCTTTCTCATTGAATCTCCTGTTTTGATAGAAAAATAACCAGTAATGAATGAAGTGATTCCCATACTGAAAAAGAGTCAGTTTTGCAGAGTCAGGCAGCCAATTTTTTTATTTTTTATTTTTGTGCCTTGAAGAGCAGCTAGGAGGGCAGGAATGGATAATCTGAGCTGCAGGACTTGCCCTGCCCCTGTGGGAAATAGACATAAGCCGTATGTAATCCTTATGGGCGTATCTGCAGGGTATGGTCGAGAAAGTCAAGATGATGGCCCTGATGGTGCAATCAAAGTGCACTGTTGTGGTCACCATCTTACTTTTTGGACCATATCCTGTAGATACCCCTGAATCCTTATCATAGGTTTAATATAATTATAAAATAAAAGCCCCACCAAACAAGAAAACAGTGGGAAATTCAGGCCTGACTCACTTTGATGTGGCCCAGCTTCCTCTGCATATTCATCCAACCCACTGAAGCTTTCAGCCATCTCACAACCCAAAATTTCTCCATTTTGGCCTTACAGGATAGTTTCCATTCTCCGGGCACTTAGAACCTTCTCCTGCAAATGAAGCTGCTGTTACAAACCAAATAGGAAGCCAAGCTGGTCTGGCAACCCTGATTGCAGATGTGACAACATAAACCATCAAGGAGCATTCCAGAGATTTACTGCACAGGTTGGACAATGATCACACATTGAGGAGGTGGGCTGCAATGTTCCCCTGGGTGCTCCTCTGACAGACAAGTTCCTTGACCTCTGGAAGGGGTTGGGTGGCATTCATGCTTTTACTTACCTGCTCATTGTCGCTCGCCCACCATTTCCCATACTCCCTTTTGGAGTGAAACACTCTATTTCCGACTTGTGCTGGGCCAGCTTCCTGCCTTTGTACCTAACAAATCATGACAATGACAGGAGCAACAAAAACAGAAAGAAATGATTGTGGGCTTGGGAGTTCTCCTGTCGTATAGCAAAGGTGCAAGAAAGGGAGGGAGTGGTGCATGCACAGATCATGGTGGACTTCCAAGAACTGCACTAGCCACTGGGGCGCAGTCTGTAGTCTTTTGCCTGAGGCCCTTTAAATTGCAAAGTGGAATGGGAACCAGATGGAGGTGGAAGGAGGGCAACCAGAAGAAAAGTGGAGGGAGAAGAATAAACATGTGGGTGGAAAAGGCACAGCACCTCTGGCCCCTCAAACAAGTGGATTTTCCCATTAGGAGCACATTTGGTTGCACATGCTGGCATGCAGTTGAGAGTCACCACCACAGAATAAAATCATTTATGACAAGAGCTTGGGAATTCACAGGCTTTGCCCTCTTTAAGATTTAAAGGAAAAATATAAACCACGGTTGCCAGCATGGTGTCTGTGATGCCTGTAGATGGCATTGGTGGACTTCTAAAATTTAATAACTCTGTTTTTGAAATGGCTGAACATTTGTGAGGTTACCAAATCTCACCAGGCTGCAGCATTCTCACGTGAGATCTTGCAAACCTTTACACAAGAACTCTGAAATGTTGTGGTAACTTGACTGGTCTCGTGAAAGATCTGCAAGCTAAGATCACTAAAATCATGTAGACACCTCATATAATTTGGGGATATTTTTAAAAAATATTTTTGGGGTGGAGGGATGCAGCACCTGAAAAGATGGATGAAGCTGACCTAATGTTTCTCTTCGCATGAAGAGTAACTAAATGACAGAGTGCAATTAACAGACTGTTTCTTTAATGACGTAATTAATGGACAAGGATTGCCAAATTTAATTGAGAACAAAGAGCTGAAAGAGAAGAACATGGGGTGCTGGTGCTGTGTTTTAGGGAAGAAAATTGTGCAGATTCAGGTGGATGACCACCACCCTTCAATGGAGAGACTCACACAGTTATCTAAACCAGTCTGCCCCCACACTCCATTTGTGTTAGGACTCCAGCTCACAGAATTCATGACCAACATGAAGGACACCAAACTGAAAAAGTTTGTGGTAAAGCATCCAAATAGTTGCTTTGCAGCCCAATTCCCTCAGTGATAATAAAATATAAAATAAAAATAAAATATTGCCTTAATAGCAAAATTCAGAATGCATAGACAAGTGACATTAGTGATGAAGCTAAATCTGTTAGGGTAGGGACAGCCAACCCAGTGCCTTTCTAAAGTTTGCTTTACAACCACCCAAATGGGCCATGCTTCTGGGTCTAAAACATCTGGAAGGCACCAGGTTACTGACCCACAGTCTTATAGGGCATTCCTGTTTCCAAAGCAGTGCTCTGTGCAAAGCTGTGATAAAACTGCAAGGTTCTGAATATAAACTATGCAGAATATTAGATATGTATACATACTAAGGCAAGTCAGTTCCTACAATGAAAGGAAAAGCAGAAGTGCTTTGTCTGCAGATGAAACTGCTGAAAGAGACAAAGCGGGTCAGACAGCATCACAAAAATCCTGGTATGCATAAACCTTCACTCAAGTGGTTAGAAAAGAAAGGCATTAAAGGAAGATAGGATTGAGAAATGTTAATCACATCTTCAGGGGAAAGTCAAAAAGTTTTCCATGGTAAGTTTTCCATGAAAAGGTACTGCAACAGGAGATTCATCTAAATCTAGGCTAGGTGCGTATATCAGATATACAGTATGATTGTAACTCAAATTCAGAATTTGGTAACTCATGAAATGGTTCTCCCTTTTGAGAACTTCTGCCATCATGTTCAAAGCCACTAGTTCTGTAGATCCATAAGCTGATAAGAATTTGGATGTGATAGATTTTTTTTTTATAAGCCTATTTGTATACTCTTCAGCAGGTTGCTTAATGGGGATCTATTGGATAGTTTGGAATTCAGTCCATTTCCTGTTCTGAACATGACTCTCACAGAAGAGAATAACTGTAGCTCAGGGTTGAACTGTGGAGTCCTTGGGGCTCTCTGAACTTGGTTGTTTGCTTGTAGACATTCCATTACCCAACTAGGTAATGTCAATATCAACTGATGATGTTACCTAGTTGGGTAATGAAATGTCTGCAAGCAAACAACCAAGCTCAGTGAGCACCAAGAACTCCACAGAACCTGATTCTTTATCAATAAATTTCACTAAAAAATAAAAAAATAATAAAAATATTTTATTTTTATAAATAATTTTTTTTTAAATAACTTTAAATTTGCCATATGTTGCTGTACCAACCATGTTTTCTTGTTCAAAAAGACAGAGTGGATAATCTTTTTTTTTTTTCTGTAGGAGGCAGGATTTACTTGTACTCATTACCAAAGACACTCATATCCATCCATTCACTTTCATCAGCATTCTGGTGCCTTGTGGTAATTAATTTTTTAAAAATCTACTGAATTTCCCCCTTGGTGTTAGAGCATAAAAGGCTACTCTGTCCTTAACTTGATTGGGCTTTTTTTACATTCTCACTCTATGAATGGAGGAGGAATATTGTAGCCCTATCCCTATGACAAGTTCAGATAACAGTGTCATTTCCAGTGATGACCACCTTCAAGATAAATTCAATTTCTGGGATCATGCTTAGAGTTTTCAAATCAGCCACAGTAGACCTGGTTAGTACTTGAATGGGAAACCACTAGTAAATTCCAAGGGGTTAGATCAGTGTTTCTCAACCTCAGCAACTTTAAGATGTATGGACCTCAACTCCCAGAATTCCCCAGCCATGCTGGCTGGGGAATTCTTGGAGTTGAACTCCATACATCTTAAAGTTGCTGAGATTGAGAAACACTGGTTTAGATAGATTGGAAAGTCAAAAAATATCCCAGAAGAAGGCAATGTTGAACTACTTTCATATTGTTTCTAAGAAAACCCCATGCTATTAGGAACTGAACTCAGGTGGTACAAAATTTTCCCGTATCACCATTAATTTCCCATATCTAAAAAAAAGTTAAATGGAAACATGGAGAGATTCCCCCTCTGGTGCATTTCAACAGATTTAGTTTTAACCTAAGCTTACTGTTTCATTATTGAGTAATTTATCTACATCTGTGGGAGTAACCTTTGAAAAATAAAATTATTGTAGCTAGACAATTACATGTAATTGCAGCATTACTTTGCAAAAGTGATTCAAAAAAAAAAATCTACACACAAAGGTCTATCTAGATACAGAAGAAGAATAAAATGACATCTCGTGTTGGATGCAGAAACACTTGAGGCAAGATTGTTTCTAAGCCTATTCACAACAACTTAGAGAAAATACCACATACCCCAGTTTGAATGGGATTTCTCTGAAACACGCAACTTACAGACATGGGCAAGGGAGGTTTTGCTGTTTAAAACAGCTACAATGAGCCAGTTCAGATGGAAGATCAGATTGTGATCTCCCTGGGACTGGAGAAGGCTCTTGGCTCAAGGGTAGAGCATTTGTGTGGCAGATAACTTGCTCCACACTCATTACACGGACTCATTCCTTCAAAGTACATTTCACTGCAAAGTACATCAGAGATCCATTGGTTTTATTCTTTGTCTTCAAGACAGGAAAATGAATGGATTTAAGTATAATAATTCTAAGAATTATTTCAGCATGTTAGGTTTCCCCACACTCTATTTTCATGGGTCACTGGCTTCAATGGACAAAAATAAATAAAAAAGTGGAGAAAAACAATTAAACCAAAGCAGAATATAGTGAGAAAAAAGTTTGTGGGTTCACAGAATGAAGGAATTCTACAACCCAATCTCCCTTCTGGAGGCTACAATTTATAAACAATTACCTAGCAAAGAATACCAGATCACCTTATTTGTAAAAGCTCCACTTATACACAAACTGAAAGGCATCCGGGGGGTGGGGGGAGTTTTGCGACATGCTTTCTGACTAGACAAGTGTAAAACCTTGATGTTTTGATCCCCCTGCAGATGCCCCAAAGCCAATACAGTGGAACCTCAGGTTATGAATTTAATTCGTTCCGTGACTCTGGTCGCACCCTGAATTGGTCGCAACCCGAAG